GAATCAGAAAATTTTTCTAAAAAGACCAGACTTACACATTTGATCTGTTTATAAAATTAAATTGTTGCATGTTAAAGATGTAAATAGAACATATGCGAAAGAAAATATCTTCGTTTAAATATATTGGTTGTTGCAGTTATTATTTATACGCAATGCCTGATTTTCGTTATTGAAATTTTTGAAAACGAATTTAAATGATAATGCTAAATATAAATTTAAAAATGTATTATTCAAAACTTATGAAGGTATAATTTTATTTCTTCTGTGTGTTATATAATATTTTATCATTTGAATCTCATGATAATGAAAATTCTATTCTGATTTACAGATAAGAGATGTAAAATTTATTGAATACATACAGATAACTTGTTAAGTCACTTCAATTAATAATCTCTTTAGCTAATATAATAATGTAACCTAATGTAGTATAATGTAATGTAATAATCTAATATAATATATAAAAATATGTAATATAATAATGTAAAAATAATGTAAGCTCACGTTAAAATAATTATGTATAAAATAATTATGATTAGTGATCTGATTGTAAGTTTATCGAATCTTTTCTGTATCTTTTAAGAAGTATGTTTTATATAATTGTACATTATCTTTTCTGCACTCAGAGAGAATAAATATATAATTATAAAGTCAAAGAAAAGAAATAAAAAACAGAGGAGGTATAGATGTTCAACAGATTAAAGATTTCAGTCCCTATTATTACTCTAATTGTTCAGAGAGGAGAGGATATTGTATGCTCTGTTTTACATTTGCTCTCGCTGTAATATGCTCATATATCATGTGATAAATGTAAATGGAAGAACAGGAAGAGAACTGTCACTTTAGAAACATTCAATTAATTCATAATATGGATTGCATTAGAGCAATACTACTGAACTAGAACTGTATAGGACAATAGGAAATACATACCGTAATATACTAATAATTCTATATAATATTTTTAAATTAATTTCTTATACATTTAGCAGAAATATATTTTATGTATACATATATTATACGTGCGCGCGCATGTGTGTGTGTGTGTGTGTGTGTGTGTGTGTGTGTGTGTGTGTGTGTATCAAAGTCAATTGAATGTTTTTTAATAACAGATTCTTGAAAGAAAAGTAGACTATAAATTGATTAAATAATTTTCCATCCGATGTATGATGTCCTCTTCCCTCTGAGTAATTAGAGTAATAATGAATGAATTGAAATCTTTGTTGTCTGTTATATAATTACACTTTCTATATTCTTTATTTTCTTTGATTTTGTAATTATGTATTTATTCCGAGATTTATTCTGAGTACAGAAAAGATAATGTGCAGAAAAGGTAATACTGTACAATTATAGAATATACATTTTAGAATATAAAAAAGATTCGATAAACACAGATCATTAATCATAATTATTTCACATAATGTGAATTACAACGTGCGTTATATTAACATTATATTTATTACATTAACATTATTAACAAAACATCGAAGAGAATTATTAATTATTAAAGTGATTTGAGTTTTAAAATCTGTACATTATAATTTATAATATAATTAATAATATAAAATTTCAGATAAGAAACAGCAAGATAAGATTCAACATAGTGCTCATATTAGAAAACCTCGAGCTAAATGCCATGCTGCACTGTCGTGCTTGCAGACTGGTTAGTAATTTATCTGAATGTAGCTGGCACGCCAAAGAATTATGCGATGCTGGAATAATAAAAACACTTATGGCACTTCTAACGTCAAAAACTGATGTACAAACTTATTGCATGGCTATCAGAGCTGTAAGGTATACAATTGTTCTTAATTCTATAGTAATTTATTTTTTCTTACTCAACTGTATTCCATTATAAATTTTATACATTTTATACATTTTATGTTACACAATTATCCATTTTAATTTACATTCTAATTACATTTGTAGGAATATTTGGAACGTTTACAAAAACATCAGGGATACGATGATAGAATTGGAAATTGTCAAACTGGTTGCTCAATTATTCGTTATGGCCGAAGAGAGGTCCAATATAGATCTTAAGTATGGCAAGCTTGTGGATGCATGCTTGAAGGCTATGTGTATATTTCTCGATACTTTAGACCCGCGATGCGGCAATCAGATGCAAGTCGACAAAGATATGTGGGGCTATAAGTGTCTTATGCGTTGCTGCAGCGCAAGAAACAATAAGATGGCTATTAAATGCCTTTATACTCTCTGTCAGATAGCGGAATGTCGATTGTGTCTAGGTGTTTCTGGCACAGTTAAAGAACTCATAGCTCTGATAATAGCGACAGACACTAATTCCAATTTTATTTGCAAGGAGATATTGTTGAGCTTATGTTTGTTTTGTCGAGAATCCGTGAATCGAGATAGGATCAGACTGAACAATGGATTACAAATTATCTTGGCATTGTTGAATAAACCCGAGTACGAATGTTATCATCCTAAATTGTTGGAAGCTCTCACACTATTCATCCACGATGAAATCGGCCTCGACATTCTGACGAGACATGGCATATTAGAGATCCTCGTAGCGAAACTGACGAATTTTGTAGCTAAGAACAGTGAGAGAAGTAGCACATCTAGAAAACGTTCCAGCGATTATCTAATCGATGATTATGACAAAAGGCCTTCTAAATATCCCATTTCGAGGTAAAATAGATTACATAATGTACATATTTATAATATAACATCAGAATCTTGATTTATATTGAGCAATTAATTTGTCGTTTATATTGGAATTAACTATATTGATTTATTTTGAAATTTACAGATATAGTATGGATCTTTATCGTGATGATTGGAGTCCAAGAAGTGCTACAAGTGCTTCTTCCTCATCGCCACCTAGCACACCACCCTTGCCACCTTATTTCGATTTCAATACAGAAATTGACGATCTCAAAGATGATGTTTATAGTCCGGTCTACAGCGATAAGGAATGCGATAACGATGAAGGTACAATATTTTTCTTTAATATCATTGATACAATTTTTTTATTCTGTTACATATGATCTATTCTAATTAAAATCTTGAACAAAGTATATCTAGATTCAAATTATTCATCTAAATTAATGTTTCCACTTTCTATTGCTGTAGAAGAAGAAGCTGCTTCTCCTAGAAGCTACAAATCACCGACAACTGTCGAAGCTGATTCCGATTCTTCCTCTCTCAATGTTGAAACGTTTTCAGAAACGAGTGCTTGCGAATACTATACATTATTATTACTGAGTAAATTGAGTTTTTCTTCTAAGCCTATCGACAAATTGGCCGAATCCATGACTATCAAATCGTTGATGGATTACATAAAATACACAAAAAAGCAAAATGTCCTAAAAGGCACTGCTCTCAAAATATTGATAAAAATCATAGGGTAAGATTTTTCAAATTATGAATTTCGTATTTACACAATTGTTTTTTTTTGCATTTTTATTCTTTCATAAAAGTTTCATTCATATCACATTTATATTTGTCTAGGAATGCGGAGTATTTCATACCATTGGTAAAACAAGGGTTTGTGTTCGAGATACAAACTCTGCCGGAAGCGGAAGAGTGCATGCGACATTTACGTACAGTGGCGGATACCGGCGGTGCCACCGGGCAATTATCGTTTCTATTACTGCGCGGCGAAGAAGATTACAAACTATTGACCGCGGTGTCAATACCATTTCTCATTAAAAGGCATTGCACTCTAAGATGCCTGCTGAAAAAGCACGATGGAATGCAGCTGATATTTCGTCTGTTGGCAGACTCGTCACATAAATTACACAAGCGGGCGATCTGGTCGATTTGTCAGTTGGCGAAAGCGTTTTATTCGGACGATTCGGACTCGATCACTGATACAGCTACAAACACCATCGAAATATGTAATATGAAACCATCGATAAAGTTGTCGTCGATAGTGATATTGGAGCTGGATGATGGCACAACCATTAAAGCTTGCAGGCAAACACTGTGCCATTATTCTCCAGTCTTCTCCGCTATGTTAGAGGGTCACTTCAGGGAATCGAACAAGAGACTAATTCGACTGAGGAACATGTCACGCAATGCTCTGAAAACGCTGATATTAGCAACGAATGATGACAGGTTCAAGAATCGAAGCATTGAGTCGCTATTGGAGGCTGTGTTACTAGCCGATTATTTTCTCATGCCGAATTTCTTGATAGAGCTGTTAACCGAGACTTCTATAAATAAACTCAATCATGAAACCTTCTATCGAGCTTGGTGCTGGGCAAGGAAATATTCCTGCCATGAATTTAGGTCTTTTTGTGTCAAGAAATTTCTGACCACAAAAATGTCATGGAATGAAACGATGCGGACGTTCCATGATTTCTATACCACCAATGCCTTCAATGAGTTCCTATGTGAGATCAGGGACATAATTACGGACGAGTTATATCGATGGTAAAAACATTAGATGGCTATTGAATTCGGATTAATGCAATTGTGACGAATAGGAATAATTCCTCGAGATCTCTATAATAAATCTTCGAAGAATTGGCTCTAAAATAAGAATTCGTCATTGTAATAAAATCTTTTTCAAAGGCATCGTGTTTGTAATTATCGTTTAAATATCTCGCGTTGCATATTATATATTAATTCTGTATATATTTTAAGATGTTCCAAGCATATTTCAAGCATTTGTACATAATAAAATAACACAGAAACATTTATAAAATCATCATCTTCCATGTATTAATGTTTTTCGTATTTAAAAATAAACAATAAATTCTGTTTACAAAATGTTTTGAAGATATCGTTATATAGTGTGTAAAAAAGTCAAGAGAACAAATTCTCTTACGTTCGCTTTTCTAAATGTCTTGCATATCTATAGGGATGTCTCGTAATATACAAAGCAATATATCTCTTTGAAAAAAATAAGCATCTTTAGATTTACTCATATTTTTAAAAATTCGTTTTCTAGATTTAAAACTCCTGAGTAATCTTCAGCCATATTGAATCGTGACATCATAAATGAGAAATGATAAGTTAATTTTTCTTTGTAAATAATTTCTCTATCATTTGTAAATAAAGAGAATTTAGATGAAACGAAACGATGAGATCGCTTTAAAACACTTATAAAAATGGGCGAAGACTCTTTATCTCCCCTGATAGTCAGTAAAGAGTCGAAAAAGACTCGTGAAGTGAAAATAAGTTACGTATTGAATAAAAATTAGTAAACGCACTTTATGTACCTTTTATGACTGTTTATTGACTGGCAACAAGGGAGATAAGGATAGTTTTCACCCATTTTTAAAGCGATCTTATTTTATTTCATCCAAATTCTTTTTATTTATAAATAGCATGTAAGAAAAATCAACATGTTGCTTACAACGTCACAATTTAACGAGGGAGAACTCAGGAGCTTTTTAAAATTCATGATTTTTTTATGTAAAAGTTTTCGATAATTCTGTTATAAGTCTATTTACAATCTTTATAATGACATTTATTTTTAATATAAAATGTTATTTGAATTGATATAAAACAAATGTCTACACGAAGAAATATGTACTTTCGACTTTGACTATATTAAATCTATGGATGTTAAAATGTATATATGTGTATATATATATGTGTATATATA